CCCGCCCAGCGCCTGCGGGGAGCCCGGCCCCGCTCGCGGTTTTCAGCCCCTGGGGCGCGGGGGCCTCGGGCAGCGGGCCTCCGGCTGCAGGGCCGACATGAGACGCAGGCCCCCTGCAAGCCCATGTCAGATGGAGAGTCAACTTTCAGTGCGCCCCAGATGCTGCACCGGCACGTTTACGTGAAAATGACGTTTTGTAGCCCCGGCTGGGCGCTCGGCGTCAGAGCGAGGGGCTGCGGACCGAAGGGTGGAGGGTTTGAGTCCCAGCCAGTCAGGGGCACCTGGACCGGGCGCCTGGGTTGTGGGTTTGCTGCCCACCCGGTCGGGGCGCGGGACGCAACCAACCTGTGTGTCTCCTTCACACCAAGTCCCCCCCTCCGCTCTCTGAAAAGCAGTGGGGAAAATATCCCCCATGAGGGTAACAACAGAATTATTTTTTGTTTATCTGAAATCCAAACACTGCATGGGTCACACTTACACCCAAAATGGTGTCGTTCACCTGACATTCAAACTGAACTGGGCCTCCTGACCCGTGGCAGCCCTGCCCGGAGCCTGGGGAGCCCATGGGGACGACTGGCCTGGGCCGCAGGGGTTTCCCAGCTCACGGGCGGTTAAGCTAAAGAAGGGTGCGGGTGGAGAGAGGATCTGGGCGGGAGCATTCCCAGGGGAGGAACAGGATGTGAGAGGGTCTGGAACTGGCTCCTGGGACTTTCCGGGGCCTGCCTGGTACAGAGTGGCAGGGACACAGGATGCGGGAGGGGACTGGGAGGACGTAGGGAGGTGATAGCTGATACTCATACATTGTGTGCCTGGTTCTGTTACGCTCCTTGTGTGTATTACACTTACTGAATCTCCAAATATGCTATGAGATTCTATACTGTCCCATTTTACAGAAAAGAAAACTGAGGCATAGAGAGGACAAGTAGTTTTCCCAAGGTCACACAGTGAAGGGCAGAGCTTCAATTCCGACTCAGCCAGCCTGGATCCCTGCTCCATAATCACCACACAGCACTCCAGTCTTCTCAAGATCCTGCAGGGGCCTGTTTGCTACTGTAAATGCCCAGCCTCTACCCAAAGCCGGGGAAGAGGGCAGACCAAGGGGGAGAGCTGACCTTCGTCTGTTTTGAAAGATGACTGTGACTGCCCAGTGGGAAATGGAGTGGAGGGGGCAAGACTGGAGACTGCCTAGGTGCCGCATTTGTGGTATGAACAAGGCAGTCCAAGTTAAAGGCTTTTCATTTTCCCTATGAAGGGTCTTTAAAATTAATTCCTGTTTCCTAATCTCTCTGGGACCTGGGCCCAATGCAACTAAAAGGCAGTAGGTAAACCTAAAATACTCAAAAAATGTCAAACCTAATTAAGCCCAGGCTTCTCTAGGGAAAGCTGCTTAGCCCTGGGCCTGCGTATTTTCAGGTGTGGGTTATGAAATCTGCAAGGGAATTAAATCACAGAACCAAAGTTGTTTTCTTCCAGTTTGGCACTTTGGTTTCAGTCGAAAGCACCCACGGTACCTTGATCCAGCTCTAGGACGGAGGCTGGAGCAGGAAGAAGGAATTCGCTACCTCTTTTTAGCAAACAAAACCAGTGGGTGGCTACCTAGATGTGGACAACTTTGTTAGCACCTCAAATGATCCTTAAATGCAGGTTTGTCACTAAAAATTATATTTACTTAAGACTATTTTCTATTGATGTGTTTAAGTGCCCACCTGAGAAGTATTTAAGTACTTGAAGTCAGACAAGTTTTGCTGGTATTTAATAAACAAAGGACAGGAATTTTCAGCTCATTTTTTAAAGCCAGACATTTGAATTACAGGTCTAAGTGTCCACCAGTATCCACACCTGGGGAAAGGCCATCTCTTTGTTTCCTGCTACCCGTTGCTTTGCCAAGTTCACTGAGGGTTCAGCAGACGTGTTAAGGCACACTGCTCCTACACATGCACACGTGCATGCGGCGTGCATGCTTTCTCTCCCGACTCACACCCACCTGTGGCAACCTACCCAGCACAGGTGGTGCCGTGTAATAATAGTTAGGACTCAGCTCTGGAGCAAAACTCCTCGGGTTCGAATCCCAGCTGTGGAGCACACGAGCTCCCCATTCACTCACTCAGCAGGCGTTGCTGAATGCAATCTGTGCAAGTCCGGAGCAGCACGTGATCTGTGGGGGGACAGGAAGCAGGTGGTCCACACCGACAGAAGTCCTGTGGTCAGAGGGTTGAAGGGGGAGGTGTTTTGGGACAGTGAGTCAGCAGGGAGGTCTGTGGAGGGAGCCACGAAGCCGGAGAAAGTGTGTGGTCAAGAACCAGAAGCAGTGCACAAAGCAGAGCACGGCACCTGCAGAGGTTTAAAATGCCTCGGGCAGGCCCTGGCTGGTGTGGCTCAGTGGTTGAGCATCGTCCGGTGCACTGAGAGGTCACCTGTTCAATTCCAGGTCAGGGCACTGGTCTGGGTTGTGGGCTGAATCCCCAAGTTGGCCATTGTGGCAGCCGGTCAGTTTCTCTCTTGTCAATGTTTCCCTGCCCCCAGAAAAAGAAAAGCTGAGAAACGATACTGCCCGCAGCACCCCCGCTCTGCCCGCCCCGGCACTAGGAACACCCCTGTGCTCAGTGGTGGCACCCATGGACAGTGCGCCCTTCTCAGTTTTGATTTAGTGTCAAATATTAGGTAACCGAATTCTATGGTGGTTCTTCCCGTGGAGATTTGACGCCAGCTGGTTGGAGCTGATTTTTGCTGCCGGGTGGAGGTCTAGCTGCTCTAGGTGTCAGTGACTGAGGGAGAACCCAGGGACTCTCAACCCTGAGTCACAGGCACTGTAGACAGACACTGCCCGAAGGCACAACATGTATGAGACATGGGTGGTACCAAAGAATTTATTGTAAATGTAGTGGCAAATACAGAGAGTGCTCGTCATTAGAAAGGACTAGAAAACCACGCGTGTAAAGGCTGTGCTTCCCCCGCCCCGTCAGGCGAGTACCACCATCTAAGTACCGAGAGACTGGATGGCTGGTCCATTCCCACATCATTTCACGGCTGTGTCTTCTCAATTTTTAAAGCAGCTGACCATGAATTTCAGTTTCAATTAATATTCTCTGTTTTTATCAATTCCGTAATGATCTGCAGAATCTTATCATCTAAGTGGGAGGAAAAAAACCCGTGAATTCATCACTGGCTAGTTTTCCAATGTGTACACACATAAACAACAGGTTACACCTCATTAAAAATTCCTTTAAAATACAAAACAAACACCAGCAACATTCACTATAAAGCTACAGATGCCCGTATAATTTGTTGCCCTAAAAATATGTTAATTACCGCTATACTTACACACCTTCTTGGACAAAAATAGGCTAAGGCCCGAAGAGATGATGCGATGTAACTGCTAGTACTTAATGCAGGATTACTTATTCACAAATCCCTTTAAGACAAGAAGTCTGCTAACTTTTCACCTGGCTCAGATCGCTGAGGGCTTAGGAGCTGTTGTCAGTCTCCATGTTTGGTCCAAGGGAAACACAACCCGTTAACAGGGAAGCGCCCACAGAGGCGTCGATGGACGTGACAGACCTCTCTCCACATCAGAGAACACATTCCACTGAACCAGACAGACAACAGAGGCCACACTGTTTGCTAAGGAGGCTTTGTTAACAGCTGCTCCTGCTTCTAATAGCTGCTCTAACGTTGTGACTTCCTAACCACTCTGCAGATTGCTGTAGGTATCAGGCTGCAAGGCTGAAGTTCTCGATTTACACCAGGCACCTCAGTAAGAGCATGGGCTGGGTTTCCATGGCTGCAGTAGGGATCCTGGTAACACGCCCCTGGCCTGAGAAGTTCCTGGGGAGGGGGCTACAGTGGCATAAAACCCCTCACCTGAACCAAGGGAAATAGCTGTGGCTCTAAAGAGACCTTGATTTTTATCTGAGGGTGAGCAGAGTGACAGAAAGCAAAAGAGCAACTTCAGTTACTTGTTTGTCAAAAGCTTGGCATCATATCCCAACTTCTCTTACTATAAGGTCCAGAAAGAGAGGACACAAGTGTACTTCAGGCTCCCTCCCAAGTCAGACGTCTATGCTTCACCTGGGGTGAGCTCTTTCTCTCCTATGGCAGAGGGATACTGGGAGTATTTACAATTCGCTTTTCCTAATCTGAAGCTGAGACTCCACCTGTCCTTGATGCGATGCAGTCCTGTCTCAGGCCGAGCAGTTCCCTCAGGCTCCCTAAGGGAAGAGCCCAGATGTCCCTACGTCAGGAGAATCAACACAGCTTGACGCCTATGCACCCACAGCCACAGCCACTCCCACCCCAACCTGCCTGGCCATGAGGATTCACTGAGGCATTCACTAAATACAATCACATAGAACCCACTAATCAATTCTTAAAATCATTAAAAGCAGAAAAACCACATTTAAGTGCTTCCGGGTGTGAAGCCTGGGGAAGACTAGCACCAACTGGAAACTTCTCCTGGAAACCTGATTCTCACCAGGCCTTTAGAACTACAGTGTGCAAGAAATACAGCGACAAACACGTTAAATCAAAGCATGAGGATGCAACCAACACCATCCTGAATGTGGGAAATTCTACCCAAAAAATCGATTACCCAGCTTATTAACAGTAACTGCATTCAGAAAGAAGGGAGGTAGCAGAGGGAAGCAGTAATCCATCAGGGAAGGATTACTGATGAAGAGAGAAAAAATAGTAACCTAGCAACATCTGTTCCCATGCAGGAGATCTGGGGGGGTCTCTGGACTTGGGTGTTTTAAACAGTGGCTGGGTTATGTGATGGTGATCGGGCATGTTTGGGGAACACTGCACCCGACTAACTGGGAACTCTGTGTCCACAGACTCTGCTGAAGGACACTGCTGACGGCTGCAAACACACGGAGCCTCACAGAAGCCCTGTTCTTATTTGTTTCAATAGCTGCATTGCCAGCTTACTGGGCCCTAATAAGCAGCAAAGTTTACAGTGCTCAGTTTTACCAACCTTTTTTCTGTGAAATGGCCAGAAGTTCAGAAGTGAAGGTTTAGCAAGAGGGAGGAATGAACTAAGAATCTTAAGAGAATAATTAGGTTGTGAATAAGTAACTATGAGTCGATGGAATTCAGCATTAAATAAATTTTACTGAAACTATTTTAATCACTTGGAGTTGAAGACTACGCAGTGTGCTCCAATGTTAAAAGCACACTCTGTGTTCCACCCACATTGTAACCAAACACTTACTTTCAAGGGACATCTTAGGATTTTCAAGCTTTTTTCTGAGAACAGAATCGATGAGAACTCGCAGCTGCTTGAAAATGACGGCTATCTTCACCGGGGCCTGTTGGAAGACGACGAATCGGACAGTTAACCCCGGAAGCGTGTGTTAAATAAATCAAGAGAAGCACGTACACCTGACTGCCGGCCTCAGCATGTCTTGACTTTAATATGGAACATTATGGAGAAAACACAAGCAAGTCACTTTCTATAGCTGAGCTATGCAAACTTGTTTCCTTATTAAGTGTCCATAAATCTAACAACGGTTTTTAAAACAATTTATTGAGGTACCAACTGCAGACCATAAGGGCTCGCTCACTGCTGGGTGCACAGGCCAATGACAGGGAACGAAGCCGTTCGCTGCCACTGCGACCCAGGGCAGATCCTCTCCGCCACCTCAGCCTTTGCGAAAACTGCATGTACTTTTAAGGCGCGTTGAAATGTATTCCCCTCCCCAGTCTCAGACAAACAGCTGCCGTGGCACAGCACAGGAGGAGGTCTAGACTTGCTCAGTTTAGACTGGTCGGTGTTCATGAGGTCAGAGAAATCACCTTATTGCGGTAGCAGTGGCTGGCCTAGTTTTCCCAGAGAATTTGACACCATGCAGTAAACACCACGCATCTGCGCCCTTACAGGTGGTATAATGTAGTGGAAGGAGCATGAGTCTGAGGATCAGGGTTCCAGGTTTAAATCTTGCTCTAGGAGTCATCTAGGAAAGCTGCCTAACTTCTCACTGAACCCAGGTGCTGATCTATAGAAAGGAAACCGACACGATCATGAGGTGTTGTGTTTAGGCTCATCCCTGTAAAGGTAACTAGTGAAGTACACACACGGCCAGCTGTAATCTCTACTGATGATAAACGTAGTCTGAACAGCAATATAATTTGCTTTTCAAATTTAACAGATTTAAAACCATATGGGCAAGATACAATAATCTTCTATTTTAAGTCAAATTTTAGGAAAAAAGTTATGCAAACACCAAAAAATTTTAACAATCTACATCAGCGGCACAGGCACTGTACCTGGAAGTAGATCCAGCCGTCGACGGAGAGGAGGCGCTCCCGGTGCTGGACCTCTATGTCCCCACCGAACAGTAAGATGGGGAAAGGGCTGATCAGGGTCGTTTCCCGCAGGTACACTCTGGCGTACCTGATCTGCACAGGGATACAGAGGAAAAGACTCAGCCTAGAAAGCAGAAACTCATTCATGTTTCGTGGGAGCACTGTTCTGTAGTCTGGGACACGTTTAAGTTACAAGTTCTGTAAAGCTACATGTTTACATTCTCTTATGTCATAATCTGCCAACTGTATACTAACCTCAATCACCACCTGTGCATTTAGACCCTAAAGACGTTTTAAACATTAACTGTAAGGCCGAGTTATACAGGGTGGGGAAAGGGGGTTTACAGTTGTGAGCGTGCGAAACACAGGGCTTACTCTTGTATCATTACTTATTACTGTTATTTTCCATACGAACAACTGTAAACCTACCTTTGCCCCACCCTGTACACCTTGAATATACATTTAAGTTTGATGACATGTTGGGAGTTACTTAAGCCAGTACTTGAAATTATGGGTCCTTGTTCTTTAACAAGCTCTGATTGAGCTGCCTGTTTTAGTTGTAATCTATAAATATTTGGTGTTAAATTATCTTCCGTTACACTGTGAACCAAACTGCTGCCATATCATACATAGTTCTCCTCCTCCCCCCCCCCCC